AAAGTCCAGCTACATTAATGATGTCATATTTACGAGAACTCTTCAAAGAGGCCCAGGCTGTTTAATCAGTGGATCCTCTGCAGGGTGTGAGGGTCATCGTGTCCTAGTTTTTTCAGCTTACGCAGGTCATCGCCGCACCTACAAACGCTGAGTTCGCAGCCGTGAATGTGTTTAGCTGCAGTGACCCTTCACCCACAGGTTCAGTGTTAACACCCCCACCACCACCACCTCCACCCCGCCTAGCTTCACCCAGTTTGAAAATCCCACAGACAAAGCTGGGGAGACAGATGGCCCGGTGAGATCAAAGGCACACGCGTTTAGACACACTCCTCTTTTAACTAACTTTGTCCGTCTGTTAGCAAAATATCTCAAAAACCACTGGACAGATTTTGATGAAACTCTCTTATATGAACCTCTGGATGTACGCCTACATCTGGTTCATTTTGGGGTCACGCCGATCCAAGATGGCTGCCACAGCAACCCAACCTTAGCAAACACAAAAAAATGGCTATAATTCTGCTGATTTTTGCAGATACAGAGCTAAAATTAGGCGTGGCGGTAGCTGATTGTCGTCCCCAACGCATCCTCTGAGCGCAACACATTTTGGTATAGCCTGGTGGGGACAGCCCTGTTTGTCTGTTAGCAAAATATCTCAGAAACAACAGAGCAGATTTTAATGAAACTTTCAGATAATAATTACTGGCTTTACGTTTTCAACTGATTAACATTTGAAGTTACCTCAATCTAAGATGACCGCCACAACTAACTGAACCTATCCGACACAAGAACGGCTATAACTCCGTGAAATCAACAGATGTTCAGCAACACTTTGGAGTGGTAGTAGCTGAGAGTCCCTCACAGCGCATCCTCCAAAGCAAACACATGTAGTGTTTTTTTTTTTTTTTTTTCAAAGTTTAGCTGAAATAGTAACTCGTCTTTTAGTCTAAAGCACACACACTGAATATAGAACTGTTAATCTCAGGTCGCTGATTAATAATAAACAAAGACAACGCCCAACTCGTAGCAACAGCGCTGTGTTTTCTGTCCACGCCACAGGTGGACAAGGAGCCAGCGCCTCAGCAGCACTGAGGAATGCTGGGTAAAGCCCTGCACTTGTTGCCTCGGGAATGTCCGGGACTCTTTTTTTTATACAAGTCCTCACGTTCACAGTCAGGCTGTCCAAACTAAACGTCACCATGAATCTGTCACGCTGCAGCGAGGACAACAGGAGCGGTGAAACGCTGCAATTATGGATTAATGAAATCCCACAACAACAACGTCTCACTCCTCCTGACCATCATGGCCGTTTAGATGGCCGCAGGATTCGTGGCTGGCTGGGAAAACGTGAGCCGTTACGCCTTACGTGTAAACACTGATGTTTAAACTCGTGACGATTTTCCTTTGACAACTCGCTAACGTCAAAACGACTGTGGCGTTTCTGTGCTTCCTGTTTGTGCCGATTTCCGTCGTCTTTATCGTCCGCCGCCAAGAGACAAAGGTGGACGAGGACGTCTGTTCACGTCTGGACGGATTTTAGTGAAACTTGCAGACGGAGCTCTGCATCGGATCACCTTTTGGAGAAAACCCAATTCAAGATGGCTGCCCAAGCTAACGCACCTTAGCAAACACATAAACAACTCGTTTTTACACATTGAGCTCAGATGTGAAGAGGCCGTAGCTGACATTTATTCACATACTACGCCTTAAAGGACTGCTCCGTTGTTCTTTTCTGGTTTTTGGCCTGTTTGAATGTGTGATCCATTTTTCTTCCATACATTTTTCTCGTGCCACAACATTTGTGCTATTTCGACAAATCATATATCAAAACTTTTAGCTCTTTCAGGACAATCCTGCTATGACTTTTGGTATTGGTGCAACTTTAGCTTTGTGAAATATTTCGCCTTTTCTGCCATTTTTCTCTCATAGAAAATGAATCGAGTTCATTTTACATCCTTCACATCTTGAGATCTGTTTCAAATGTTTTACTGCTCCTTTCACATTTTGTTCTGCTTCAGCTTCTTTCAATTTCCTTGTGGTAATTTAAACGTTTTTCCAGCTACTTTCAGCTAATTTCAGCTGTTTTTTCAGCTGTTTTGTACTCTTTCAGATTATTTCTGACATTTTTGTGCTTCTAACTTCTTTCTGCTAATTTTAGCTTGTTTTGCACCTTTCAGCTTATTGTATGCAAGTTTCCAAATTTTCTGCTATTTCAGCTACTATTTAGCTGTTTTTATGCTAATTTTAGCCATCCATCCATCCATTTTCTTCCGCTTATCCGGGGTCGGGTCGCGGGGGTAGCAGCCTAAGTAGGGAGGCCCAGACTTCCCTCTCCCCAGCCACTTGGGCCAGCTCTTCCGGGGGAATCCCGAGGCGTTCCCAGGCCAGCCGAGAAACATAGTCCCTCCAGCGTGTCCTGGGTCTTCCTCTGGGCCTCCTTCCGGCCTTCCCATGGGATCACCACCTGTGGGAGGGCCAAAGGGGTCCGGTGCAATGTGGGATGGGTGGTGGCCGAGGGCGGGGACCCTGGCGGTCTGATCCTCGGCTAATTTTAGCTTTTTCGGGTAATACAACTTTTTTTGCCCTTATTTAAACTTTTTTCGGCCTAATTCAGCAAAAATGTGCTCTCTCCGCTTCTTTCTCGTAAATTAAGCTTTCTGATTTTTAAGCTACTTTTCAGCTGTTTTTTTTTTTTTAAGCTAATTTCCACTTTTTTTTTCTTTTTTTTAGATAATTTGCACTATTATGTGCTCATTTCTGCTTCTTGGAGCCCAATTGGGCAAACATGGTCTTTTTGTTTTCTTCTGCTAATTTAAGCTTGTTCTACCTTTTCAGCTAGCCTTTTAGAAAAATTTTAGCTAATTTCAGCTGTTTTCAGATAAAGTTTTTCCTGGTAATTTCTGCTACTTTCAGCCTAATTAACTTATTTCTGTTAATGTCAGCTTGTTATGCTCACCTAGCTTTTCCTTATAGTTTTAGCTTTTTCTGCTATTTCAGCTACTGTTTTATTCTAAGCTGAGCTTTTTCAGATAATTCCACTTTTTTTTTTTTTACCTCATTTCAGCTCTTTTAGCTTCTTTCTGGTAGTTTAAGCTTCTTTCAGCTTATTTCAACAATATTTTGCTAATTTCAGCCTTTTTTTTAGCCAATTATCTACTGTTTGCGCTCATTCTACTTCTTTAAACCTAATTCAGCAAATAAGTGTTCTTTCCTTCTTCTGCTAAGTAAGGCTTGTTCTTTTATTTCAGCTACATCAGCATGTTTTTAGCTAATTTTAGCAGTTTTTCAGCAATAAGCATTCACACTGCATATTCGCAGGAAATGCATTTTCTTTTGTTTTATTTCACTTTATGCCTGATTGAGCCACCACATCGTCAGACTTTCACTACATGATTATTATGGCCGAAACAAAGTGTGGAAACAACAACAGTTACTGGGACAGAAAGTGGACAGACTGGGCTTTCTTGCGGCTCAGTTTAAAGGTCAAAGTGAACCAACCATGCACAGCTGTGACCCTGCAGGTGCTGTATTACTTACAGTATTTTTATGTGTACTGATATAATTAAATCAGGGTTTATTTACTGGTACCTGGCTACCTCTCAACAAATAGCGTATTTTTTGGACTATAAGGCGCATTAAGCAAAACTCAAACAATAACAGATTTTTGAGCAGAGTGTTCCACATAAAATCGGTTTGAGGTCAGTAAGCACAACCTGAATTAATACATAAAGCGCATCGGATTATAAAAACCACAAAATAATTTCCCTTTGGGATTAATAAAGTATTATTGAATTGAATAAGGCTCACTGTAGATTTTTGAGGAAATTATAGGATTTTAAGTGCACCTTATAGTCCGAAAAATATGGTAATAGTTTTGGGGTAACATTTTGAATCTCTTATTTCAGCAAAAAATTATCCAGAATGAAGATTTTTAAGGATGCTGTTTTTAAAATTTGTCATGACTGGAAAGTAAAATATATATTAAAAAAAAAAAAAAAAAACATTTTATGCCCGTTGACAAACTGGTATACAGCAATCTATAGAGATCGCCCAGACAAGCAAAGAGCTTATTTTAAATTTGACCTTGGATTGTGACCTTAACGTTGGACCTGGGGTGATGTAAAGTGTATGAGACACTGTCTGGCGATGATGCGTACATGTATGAAGTTTTGTGTCATATATATATAAAAAAGAAAGATTAAAAACAGACATACTTCTTTTTTTTTTTTTATTTCACATGGACACTTTGGACATGTACTGTGGATATATTCACATATCAAAAACACATCAGCTCGACATGTCTTACAATTACAAAACACATTTGTTGTCATTTTGCACATAGAGCTCGAGAGAGAACAAACGTGACTGAAACGTTACAAAAGAAAACAATTCCCAGCACGTGTTTCTATATTGCATACGCATTCAACAGGGAGTGGAAATCTGAAATGCATCAAAGTTACACGAGGGAAAAGTCCCACGATTTCAAAAGGCTGAGGACTTTTAATTCAGCAAACAGCCCCGCTGCGTAATGTTCTGGAGGATGCCAGCAGGTTCTGGTAAGCAGCGGCTGGAGCTCTCGGTGAACCTCAGAACACCAGGTCTCGATTGTGAGGAGGTGCCGAACACATTCATGAGGACTTTAACACAAACAACACGAGGAAGCGCTCCAGTACGGATCCGTGAAGGAAACACAAATGGTGCTCAGTGCTGGTTTCGCCCCAACAAACCCAACACTTGGGCTCGCAGGGCGTCACATTTATCCATACGTTTGTATTTAGGTAGAGAAGCCACTGCACGTCTAAAATACTTGGTGCTATACCACAGCAGGCTCGTTACAAGGCGAGGTGAGAGGTGTTGACGCGGCTTTAGAGTCAAACGAATGACTGCAAATAAAAACAGAATAAAGGAGTCTGGAAAACAAAATTCATCAAAATGTGAAAAACTAAATGTAACTATAGAATCATTGTTGTTTTTAGAACTTTTTTTTTTGTATTACTCTCTCAATATTATATATAAACAGCATCTACAACCAGATAAATCATTTCTAATAACTTAAATACTTAAATTATTCTGAAATACAATACTGTTCCACTCGCAGTTTCAAAAGGATAAGAAAATAGATTCACTCGCAGCCTACGTCAAACAAGACTGTCGAGAGGTCCGTAGGCTGACGTACACAACCTGCAGGCGCGACGGCGTCTGTTCGGTCCTGCAGCGAAAAGCTTTGGCACAGAAAAACAACAATGTGGTGCAGATCGGAGACGCTCATGCAGGCTTTGCTCCAGCCCTGGAGGAGATGAGGTCCACGAATCCCAACATGCATCACAACCATGCTGCCGGAGTGAGAGACGACAAGAGGAGAGTCACAGAAATCACAGAAAATAAACGTCTAATCAGGTCAACAACGTTCCAGCTTCCTCCCGATGACAGTGATGCTTTCGCTCTGCGCCCTTTCCATCTGTTTTTTTTTTTTTCTCACAGCGATGACTCCACTTCCCTGGCGACGGGAACCTCGTCCTCAGTCTGAGGGCGAACCTGATCACTTGCAGCCTGATCCGGGGTCTCGCTGATGACCTCCAGAGCCGCGGCGGCAGATTTGCAGTCGCTGCTGGCCTTCTTGTCCGCCGAGCCGCAGCACTGCTTGGGGGCGCACTGAGTCCGACAGGAGAGCTCGCAGAGAGAGTCCCGAGACTCCGAGCTGAACGTGACGAACTCGGGCTGGATGGTGGTGGCGTGGATGCCCTCGTGATGAAAGAAGTCTTTGATGCGTTTAGCCACGTCCATGTAGGAGGTGGGGTCGTGGCACTTTATGTGTGCCGTGGCGATGATTCGGCTCCCTGCCAGCTGCCAGATGTGCAGCTCGTGGATGGCGAGCACACCCTCCAGGCTCAGCAGACGCTCGTTGAGCTTGTGCATGTTGATTTGCTTGGGGACAGTCTGCAACAGGATGAGGGCCGACTCCTTCAGCAGCGGGTAGGTGGTGTACAGCAGGATGCCCACCATGATGATGCACAGCGTGGGGTCCATGTAGAGAACCCAGCATGGCCCGGCGGTGACGGTGTAATTGCCGTAGTAGTGGTCTGGGGCGTGATTGTAGGTGCAAAAGTCCACGCAGTCCTTCTGGTCTTTGCAGCTGTTCCACACAAAAGTAAAAATGATGGCATTGACCACCACGATGACAGAGCCCAGGGCGTCGCCCAGCACGTGCAGGAAGACGCCGCGCATGTTGAGCTGCGACGACGAGTCGTGGTCAAGGTCCATCTCGTCGAAGTAGGTGTTGCCGTTCATCTGGACCTCTGAACCATCTTTACAGCTGACATCTGAAGATAAAAAACCAGGGACGTCAGTTTGACAGAGCAGGACAATAAATAATCTCACATACTTTGACACAGAGATACTATTTCTTTAAAACGTCTTCAGTTAATCCAGAATGCTGCTGCCAGAGTCTTAACTGGAGTTAGTGGGAGAGATCATATCGCTCCAGTTTAATCTTCTCTCCATTGGCTCCCTGTCAAATCCAGAATTGAAGTCAAAATCTTACTTCTAACCTACAAAGCTCTCAACAACCTAGCTCCATATTATATTACAGATCTTATTGTTCCATATTTTCCTAACAGAGCACTTCACTCTCAGACTGCAGGTTTAATTGTGGTTCCTACAGTTTCCAAAAAGGGAACGGGAGGCTGATCTTTCAGTTATCAGGCTCCTCTCTTGTGGAACCAACTTCCAGTTTCTGTGTGTGAGGCCGACACATTGTCCAGTTTTAAGACTGGACTGAATGAAAACTCTTTGACGCTGCAATGTAGAGCCAAATATTTTGGATTCAGAATTTGGTTTGATGCGTCGTTTTCTAATTCTAATTAGAAATTTGGTGATTTTTAGTTATTTTCTTAAGACACATTTTCCCTCCTAACAACAGCGATTTGACAGCAGAAGACTTTCACCAAGTCTGTCCTCCGAGTGCCACGTTAGACTGGACGACAATGAACTCCCCCCGATGCAACAAACCCTACGCAGTCATCTACATAAGGCAAATTCAATTAGTGCTTTTGCAGGCGACGTGGCAGAGCACACACACAGAGCTAAGGGAGAGGCACCTGAGGAGCGGCGGTGGCTCTTTTCCATCCCGGGGCATCATTGGGTCATTCATCAACCGCTAATGGTGTGTCTGGACTGTCGACTCCACGGTTACACTGATGTATGACCCAGGAACAGCAATCAGGGCGTAGAGGAGGGGATGTAGTAGGCATTTATTGAAACTGGCAGGGCCTAACAGTGTGGGGGGAGGAAAGGGATTCTGGTTTAACCCTTAAGTGAGTAAGCGAGGGGGGCTACACTGACCAGTATAGAGAATTTTTAGCCTTTTTTACGTTACACAAATAACACATAGCACCTTGAGTGTGTTTGTAATGACCTGCACGGTTGGTTGAGCAGACAGGCCGCCATCTTTACAAATCAGGGTATCTGATTTATGAAGCAGATTTGTTTGATCTTGGCCAGTAAATATGAACACTGGCTGTTTTTTAGTCATTTATTCAACTCCAGGGCCTGCGCTCAGCCAATACCTCACGCTTCAGTTTCTCGAAGCTTCTCTATGAATACAAGTTTAAAACTGGCCATATTTTCTCTCCAGTTCCTGTCAAACCAGTTAAAGCTAATGTAAACGAAGCATAAGTCTGAATCCACTGAAAATCACATGGGAGGAATCTTGGGTCTTTTCTATTCCAAACGGCTCTTCCGTGGATGTGGCCGCTGTTCACCTGTTTTCGGTCACTTTAACAGTTTCCGTAGGTAAACAAACACTCGTAGTGGTTGGCAGCAAATTCTGCGTAGAGGTTTTTACTTTAAGGATAAATTCACCATCTGTATGAGAAAATAAATTGTGTTGGTTTTGTTCCACGACATTATAAAGAGTACCTGTAAAGATTTATGGATGTGAAAGATAAATATCACCTCAGTTGTGAAAGTTTTAGCTTTTCTCTGTTGGCTCCCTGTTAAACTCAGAAAAGACTTTAAAATCTTACTTCTAACATACAAAGCTCTCAGCAACCAAGATCCATCTTTTATTACAAATCTTATTCTTTCAGCTTTTCCCTCTTCAGGGGTCACCACAGCGAGTCACCCTGTTCCATCTCACTCTGTCCTCTGCATCCTCTGTCCTCACTCATTGTTCCATATTCTCTAAACGGAGCATATCACTCTCAGACTGCAGGTTTACTTGTGGTTCCTAAAGGTTCTAAAAGAAGAATAGAAAGGTAGAGCTTTCAGTTATCAGGCTTCTCTATCGTGGAACCAACTTCCAGTTTCTGATACTCTACTTTTAAGACTAGACGAGACTTTTCTTTTTCCATAAACACAGTAGTTGCAGTTGACTTGGGTTTCCTGAAGGAGCCCTTAGTCATGCTGCTATAGGCTTGGACTGCTGGCAAAGAAACACATTACTTCACTCTGTTGCCATTTATGTCTCTTCACTCTGCATGTTTGTAATTTAAATTATTTCAATGTGATGGACTTGTGACCTGTCCAGGGTGTCCCCCACCTCTCGCACAGTGACTGCTGGATATGGGCACCCGTGACCCCCGCGACCCGAAAAGAAAGAAGCAGGTAGAGATAATGGATGGATGAATTATTTCAATAAACATGGATTTTTTTGTCTTTTCCCCCATAGAAACTCCACCTGGGCCACATACACTCCACATGGACCATAGAAACTACACATGTACACACGTGTATTGTTTAACGTTTGTTTAGCGTACATCGTAGTGTATAGTTTAGCATAGATCTTAGTGTATATCTTACATCCTTATATACTGCTTCTTTTTATACTTTGTTATTTTGGGGTGTAATTGGGACCTTGAGTACACAATTTTGTTCCATCTCATGTACCACATGTGATGCGAATGACAATAAAGATACTTGAACTTAAACTTGAAAAAAACTCCACCTGGACCATATAAACCCCACCTGGACCACAGAAACCCTACCTGGACCATATAAACTCCCCATGG